GACCGGGCTCCGGCCCACCCGCGCTGCTCCTAGGGGGCCCGCCGGCCGTCCGGCGGACTCAGCGCGCTCTTCTCTTCTCTCTTCCTCTCCGTTTCCTTCCGCGGGCGCCGCGCCCAGGGCAAGAACTGCGACTACTCGATCAACTCGGACTGGCCGCCGGGACGGTGAGGCGGCCGCGCCGGGCCGCGGCGGGCCGCGGGGGCGCGGCGCTGCCCCTCGCTGGCCCGCCCCTCGCCGGCAAAACGCGTGCCCCCCCCCCCCCCCCTTACCCCCCCCCCCCCCCGCCAGAGCTCCCTTCGGCGGCACGCGCCAGGAAACTTTTGCGCTGGAGTGACTTCTGGGTGCGTGCGCACTGCAGTCAGCCCGCACAGGAAGGGTGGGCGACCTTCCCAAGGGGCACCCTTGCATCCGAGCCTCCGCGGTCCATCCTTGGACACTGTCGTGGGCCACGCCCCGCTCGAAAAGCCTCGAAATGGGCGTCCAAGGCCCTTCCATCCTTATCGTGCATCCTTACTATACGGGTTGACTGTAGATGTCGGATGTCCTGGTCTGGCGTGTCCGGGTATCACGGGCATCTGAGATGCAGCCTCCAGGACAGCCCGTTCTCAGGGATCCCCGAGTTGTCCTGGCCCGATTTGGCCCCGGTCCTGGCTTCTTCTTACGTTGTCGGCTGTGCGGGGTCTGCGAGCAGGGAACTCTGTAGCATGCCGTCTGTGCTAGATTCTTAGACTCCCTTCACCCTTCCAGCCGAAGCCCTTTACCAGGCCGACGGAGAAACGAAGTCGAAATGGTCGCACCCGGCCGCCTCGGTGCAGACAGGAGGGGGAGGAGGAGGAGGAGGAGGAGGAGGAGGAGGAGGAGGAGGAGGAGGAGGAGGAGGAGGAGGAGCAGGAGGAGGAGGAGGGGGAGGAGGAGGAGGAGGAGGAGGAGGAGGAGGAGGAGGAGGAGGAGGAGGAGGAGAGGGGTCGAGACGTCTGGGGAGGATAGGGGGGGAGGCATCAGGCAGGTCAAGACAGCGTCGGAGGTCTGGGCCCCCTACAGTCGAAATCCACAGTAAGGACGCGCTGGGACGCGCTGCCTCATCAAGGCTGCCCTTGTCTCCGTGCTTGTTCGGTCCGTCCTGAACCAATGTTGATGTCCAGGGAGCTCTAGATGCCAAATGGGACGTCAAAGGGTCTTGCATCCTTACCTTGCATCCTTGCTTTGGATTTTGACCGTTTTCGTTCCCCTCCTCCACCCTTCTGCCTCCTGCTCCCCTGGGCACCCCTCCTCCCTCCGCCGCCTGACCGTGCACACCGACTGCCGTGCCGTCGTCCCCGGGCCAGGGGCCAGAGCTTTCGGGGACGCATCGGCCTCCAATCGCCCATTCAGCGCCGATAAGGATCCGGTAGGCCCACCCCGCTCAGGAATGTGCGGATTCGCCATTGGTGGCCTATCGGCGATCTATCGGCGGTGTCTCGTCGATTCCAGGTCGACGTTCCCCCCCCTGAGCCAGTCCCCCCCTCATCGATGCCCCTCAGGATAGCGCTCGGTTGGAGGCTTTTTTGAGTCCACTGTCTGTTGCAGTTGCCGCAGCCAAAACGGCTGCTGCACTTGAGCTGGATTATCGCTGGGCGCGCCCGCCCTCGTTCCCCGCGGTCGCACAGAGAGATCAATATAAGAGGTTCGGTGAAAAAATGGCTGGCCTCTCGTCGGGCTGCAGGCGAGCAGACGGCGAACGACCTGAGAGCTGGGCGCGCGGCCGAACATCTGCGGGGCGGCGTGGGGGAACCAGGGGGGGCTGGCGGGGTCGCGTGTCACGGGCGACGCTTCAGGGGGAAACAGACTGGCGCTCCGACTTCGGCGCGCTCAGCCACTGGAAAAACAACGGTATCAGTGCGCGGGCCCCCAACAGTGAGACAGCGCGCATTGGCGGCGCGCGAGCTAAGCGGGCCCGCGGAGCTCACGGCGAACCAGCCAGGCCGAACGAGGCCAACCCGCCGCAACCGTGCCGAAACAGGCAGGCTGGCTGAATCAGCAAGATTTGAGGCGCCGAGGCCGCGTCGGCCAATCCGAGCGGAATCCACGGCAGCCAGGCCGAGCCTCAGGCCGAGCATGGCAATAGTCCGCGGCGGCCAGGCTGAGCAGTCTGGGCCGAATAATGCCAATCTGTGGCGTACACGATGAGTCCGCTTGGCCGATCCGGCCGAGAAAATGGAGACCAGCCATGCCGCGACCTGCTGCGGGGCACAAGCAGGTGGGCAGCGCCCGAGCCAAACCAGCCAGGTCGAGCCAGGCGCGCCTGCGGCGCCCAGCCTGGCCTTGCTTGGCCGAAGCCGTCAGATCCGCCGCGCCCGCAGAAACGCCCGCGCCGAATTGAGTAGATCCGAGCCGCCCAGGCCGAACCTGGCCGGCCGAACGGTGCCCCCAGGGGATATCCGTGTCAAATAATACCATGCGAGCCACTCTCGCGCGTCTGCCGCGCGCGCATTTCGTATTCCTTCTAAAACTTTCATCACCGACGCGAAGACGCCGTCATCGTCGTCGGCGTGATCGGCATCGGCGCCGTCACTGGTCGTGCCGTCGTCGCTGGCAGCATCGTCACCAAAATAGTTCCTAGCATCATCATCATCATCATCATCATCATCATCATCATCATCATCATCATCATCATCATCATCATCATCATTATCATCATTATCATCATCATCATTATCATCATTATCATCATTATCATCATTATCATCATCATCATCATCATCATCATCATCATCATCATCATCATCATCATCATCATCATCATCATCGTATCTACAATTGTCGACGTTGCCACGAAAATGCCCTCCTGGTGCCGAGCGGTCAGCACCACCGCGGCCACGTCGGTCGCGCCAAATTACCTAGCCGCTGCGCGCGCATGCGCGGGCTAGTGCGGCCGCAGAGATGCACCAGCCAGCGCCAAGCACTCATCGCAATCGCCGCCGCATGAGGTTTGCAAACCAAGTTGCGGGTGGGTGGGTGGGATGTTTGCGCGAGCAGTGGAATGGACAAATCATTGCGAACAACAAATAAATTTTCTTTTCAAAGACTGAATAAAATCTACCCCCCCCCGGCCCGGCGTTATCGCCCCCCTTTCGGGTATGTAAATCATTTATGATTCTGACCACATGTCCATCCTAAATATGTATTTACACTATCCCAGAGGGGGCCGGTATCCCCCTCTCTGAGGGTCCCTTGTAAAAAACGCTATGCGGTGACATTTTTTGTTCTAGCATCGCATTTTTTCGCAAAATCTCTTGCAACAAATGGGACGAAATGCGCACGCGCGCGGCGTCGCGCGCGCATGCCGAAATCCTTCGAAAACCTTTGGTGCCGGAAGGATTTCGCGATCGAGTTTCCTACAAAAACACAGGGTTTCGCAACACTGATTTGCTAAAACAACTTCCGCGCGAACTATTGCGAAATCTTGAGAAAACCATAGGCTTTCTCAAGATTTTCACAAACATGCTTTTAAACGGGCTTCGCGCGCGCATGTCGAAATCTGTCGAACGCCCTTGCGCGTGTGCCGTCGCGGGAATCCTCTGCAAACAATGGGACGAAGTGCAGACGCGCGCGTCGTCGCGCGCGTATGCCGAAAACCCTTCAAAACCCGTCGGTTTCGGAAAGATTTCAAAATCGTGTGTCCAAAAAACCTACAAAAACCCAAGGTTTCGCAACACGGATTTTCAACAAAAGCGTGCGCGCGCGCTCTTGCGTCGTCGTCGTCGTCGTCGTCGTCGTCGTCGTCGTCGTCGTCGCCGTCCTCCCTCCTCCCGCGTCGTCGTCGTCGTCGTCGTCGTCGCTACGTCGTCCTCTGTCTTTCCTCGTGTTCGTCGTCGTCGTCCTCTTTGGCGTCGTGGTCGTTTCCGTCGTCGTTGTCGCCGTGGTCGTCCTTCCTCCTCCTCCCTCGTCGTCGTCGTCGTCCGTCGTCGGCGTCTCGTCGTCGTCCCTCCTATTTCGTCGCCGTCGTCGTCGTCGTCGTCGTCGTCGTCGTCTTCCCTCCTCCCTCGTCGTTGTCGTCGTCGGCGTCGCCGTCCTTCCTCCTTCTTCGTCGTTCGCGTCGTCGCCGTCCTCCCTCCTCCCTCGTCGTTGTCGTCGTTGTCGTCGTTGTCGCCGTCGTCGTCCTTCCTCCTCCCTCGTCGTCGTCTTCGTTGGCGTCGTCGTCGTCGTCGTCTTCGTCGTCGTCGGCGTCGGCGTTGTTGTCGTCGCCGAAGTCGTCGGAGACGTCGTCGGTGTCGTCGTCGTCGTCGTTGTCGTCGGTGTCGTCGTAGTCGGTCTTAAGAATTTTTGCAAACCGAGTTGCGGGTGGGTGGGTGGGATGTTTGCGCGAGCAGTGGAGATGACGGCTTCAAGTTCAGCAGAGTGGATTGCACCACATAGATGGTTTCACATTGAGTGCACCACACAAATTGCCAGAAACACGTTGTTTTGGGTTTACGCTGTTGAGCATTTTTCTTGTTTTCCCGTCCTCCTTGCTGTCAATATGAAGGCATCCTGTTTTCTTTTGGGAGGGGGGGGGGTTGAGGGGGCCATGGGACGGTCAGCCGACGTAACTGTGCAGGAAAGGATTTGCATTTAAGACCTACGCCGGTGCAGCGGTCGGTCCGAACTCGCGCTGGTCTTGCTTCGACCTCGCTCCCATCTGGCCGATATGACGACGTGCTGAATTTGCGCGGGTTTGGAGTTGCGCCGCATTTTCGCGGCTGCCCTAGAGGAGGAAGAGGAGGAGGCGGAGGAGGAGGAGGAGGAGGAAGAGGTGAAGGAGGAGGAGGAGGAGGAGGAGGAACAGGAGGAGGAGCAGGAGGAGGTTGAGTTTTAGACCCGTACCAGTTCAGGGCTGTGTCTGTGTTGAAGCTGTGTTGAACGCGCCGCTTTAGAACTCCTCAGGATGGCTTTCGCGAGGGACTGGGGGATCGGTCGTGGGCACCGGAGTGCCACAGGCAGCTTCGCTTCTTCCAGAGGCGCCTGTTCACAGGCTGCTCCGCAGCCATTTGACTCGAGACGATGCGGGGCCTGCCCCAGCCTCGCAGACCAGCGTGCCCAGGCCCGCCACCGGCATCACACGCGAGGACGCCAGCCTGGCCAGGAGTCGGCGACAGCAACGGGTGTGGTTAAATTACTCTGGGGGGTGGTTTACGATCGGCGCCGTTTAGGTTCGGGGGCTCACCGCTTGCGCCAAAGGTTTGGTGAGCCCTCGTCGGGGCGCGGCAGAGATCTCTATCGAGGTCCTCGCTCGCCCGCGCCCCCCTGGCGCGGGTTGCAAGTCGCACCTCTTGTAAGCTACACCCTTCGGGGTCGCCGAAGGAAGCCGTGGCCGCGGCCCTCTTGCCGAGGACGCCAACGCCCCAGCCGCCGCAGCAGGGCAGCCCGCCAGCAGCGAGGATGCCTTCCTCGAGTCGGCGCCCGCGGCGACCCCGCCGGGAGGAGGGCCCATCACCGTCGAGAGCTCGCCAGCCCCAGGGTGCCTCGGCACGTGCTCCGAGGATCTAGGCCTCCCAGACGGGGTCCGAGTGGACGGGGTCGGAGGATCGCGCCGCATCGCCGATTCATCGCCGATGCATCGGCGATGCATCAGCGGTGCTGCGCGATGTGGGACCCGATTTTCTCCACGCCGACGGCGCTGATGCATCGCCCACGTTGTCGATGCATCGCCGATGCATCGGCGATGCATCTCCGATGTATTGGCGATGCGGCGCGATTCTCCGACCCCATCTGCTCGGACCCGATCTAGGAGGCCTCCAGAGGCGTCTCCAAGGGGAGCGCGTGCGGCAGGGCTCCGCCAAGCATCGAGGAAGAACATCTTGCATGAGCACGAGCTTTCGGCGGCTCGCGCGGATTTCTTGGATCTGCGCTGGACCCCTGGCGCCAGAGGCGCCGCCAGAAGGGCCCAGCGCCGATCCGAGAAGTCCGCGCGGACCGCCGAGAGCCCATGCTTCTGCCGCTGTTTGTTCGTTGAAGCCAGAGTTCGCCCCGGCCACCAGGGAGCTGCTGGGGCGGGGGATTAGCGTGAGGCAGCTGCTGGAGTTCTACGCCCACCACGAGCAGGCAGGCACGATAGCGGGCTCCACCACCACGGGGGAGGTCGTGGAGCGGATCCTGCGGCCCGCGCTTGCCGGTGGCTCTGCTCGGTGCTTCATGGAGGCGTTCTGGTAGCAACTCATCGGAGCCTTGTGTGTCTTCGCAGAGTTTGTTTTCAGTGTGAACTAGCGAGCGCTGGCGCCTGGTAGTCGATGCGAAAAAGCGCCGATTCAGCGTCGATTCCTCTCGCTTCGCGGAGTGCACGTCCGGAGTACGTACAGGCAAGTCGTTTTGGGGGTTCTCGGGAGTCTCGTGGGGGCGTCGTGGGCCGTTCTGGGGCGCTCTGTCGCCGTCTGGCAGCTTTGGGGGCGGGGCTGGTGGCGATGTCGGGGCCTCTTGGGCTGTTTTGGGGGCCTGTGTAGGCAATCGTTCGGCCTCTTTTGGATGTTTCTAGGGCTGTCTGTTGGGGCCGAGGCTTCTTGGGGGCTCCTTGGGGGCTCCTTGGGGCCTCTTGGGGACTTCTTTTGGGTCTCTTTGGGCTTCTTGGGGGCGTCTTGAGCCGTATTGGGCGCTGTTGCGCCGTTTGGCCCCTGCGGAGGCCGTATTGGGGGCGTCTCGCGGCCGCCTTGGGGCTCTCTTGGAGTCCTCTTGGGCCGTCTCGGGAGCCCTTTGGGCCGTCTTGGGGACCTTTGGGCCGTTTTCGGAACTCTTTGGACCGTGGCTATTTTGGCTCGAGGCTCAAGGAAGGCTCAAGTGAGGCTCAAGCCCCAAGCAGTCAACGAACATCCCCTTCATTCATTGCATCTGCGCCATGGCATGGGCCAAAAAACACTGGACTGAAACATCGAGCAACAAAGATGTGTGTTTGGAAAGGCGATGGCAATACAGACCAGACCCGCGACGGGAACGCAGAACGTTCGCAGAAATGATCCTAGAAACGCGATGTTGGATGACCAGTTTGATGTAATCCGCTGGCTGGGCGAAATCGAGTCCCACACTTTGCATGCAGAAGTGCAGGCCTATCAGTACTGTCAGCACCCTGTCCCAATGGAACCTTTCGTAGCCATGCAAAGGACAGCTTAGTATGTTGAGGTACCTAAATTTGAGTACGTCGAGAAGGTTGTCGAGGTTCCCAAGGCTGTACTTGTGGAGAATATAGTAGAGGAGACACTTGTCATGCCAAGAGCTCGTGATAATTCCAGCAATTGTGAAATGGGTCGAGACGGCGCTCCTTCTTGTGAGGCGAGTCGCGTATCCAGTGAAGATGAAAATATCAAGGAAGCGGAGGCCCCAATTGACGGTCGAATCTCGAGTATTCAAACAAAAACGATTTGTTCATCGATGCGAAGGACGAAGCAAGTTACATAGGTTTGGTGCTGGATACGTTTGGGGACCCAATTGTGGAGTGCGAAACAACATTCCCCAATCCAAACCGCACGAAGTTATCTAGGGTTAGTGTGGAGCGGCGTTATGAGCTCATGCATCGATATTGTCTCTGGCAGAGTGTATGCGACAAATTGCACAATCGGACTGGAGACCCGCTGAGCAAGACAGACGAGTTTTTGGAATTGATTGTACAATTCACAAGCTATGGCCGAGATGATGGGCTTCGCGCAAACGTGTGTGAGGCAAACGCGCCCCTTCTTTTTATGACGCTACATGTTCAAACTCATCGGACAGATTCTGCCAGTGGAGCCAATAGTAATAGTACACACTCGAGATCGTGAGGTAACCATGTACTACGACATCTGAGTTTCGGTGCTCCGGCGCCCCCGCCGAGCTCTTAGAGGGCCCCCCCCCAGGGCGCGCATCGGCGCTTCTCTCGTCGGTCCTCTCGGGCGTTTCTTGAGTCGTCATGGGTCGATTTTGGACGCTGTTTGGGTCGTCGGGAGTCGAAAAAAAACGAGAACGCGAACATCCTTCAAAACTTTGCGGGAAATTTAATGATTTGGGCTTGCGGAGGCGCTATTGGGGCTCTTCTGGGGGCCCAATTGGGCCGTTTTGGGCGTTTGTTGGGCCCTCATTGGGGCCATCTTGGATCGTTTCGGAGCCGTCGCGGGCCCTCTAGAGCGTATTTTGAGCAATTTTGAAGCCCTCGTGGGCCTCCGGGACGGCCACGGGCCCCAAATCATAGATTTTCCTTAGGTTTTGGAGGGTTTTTGAAGCCCACAAGGGGTCCACCACTTTTGGGTCGGTGGATTTGGCGTAGCCCCGGGGGGTGGGGGGGTGGGAGGGATATTATAATGTAACACATTACAAGATGTAGCAACTATGGATACATTGGATACATTGGATACGTTGCATTGAGGCGTTCGCCGGAAAGCGCTGCCGCTCAGCACGTCGCCTCGATTCAGCGTCGATTCTCGATGCTTACGCCACATCCGCCGACCCCTTCTGTGATGCGTGTTTCGAGAGTGACTTGGGTCGGGCACGGTGTGTGTGTGTGTGTGTGTGTGTGTGCGCGCTTTTTGGGATGCATCCTCTGGCGCACCGTCTTTTGGCCTGGCTATCTTTTCCAGGCCACGTCAAAATTTGGTGATGTAAGCTTCTGATGCTCTCCGCGATAGTGATGACACTTCGGTCCCAGAGGTATCTAAACTGCCCTCTCACGGCTGCGCCATGTGGAGCGAACAACAGTAGCAGAGGCACTTTGGGAGTTGTTTCGGTATTTTCCGGGGGGGCATGTTGGTGCCTTCTCCGTAGGGGTGTCGTGGAGGGCGCGGACGGAGGAGGGGGACGATAGGTTTGAGGTGTCGTCGAAGTTCGTTTTTGTTTTTTTTTTGGGGGGGGGGTTATTCTTTCCGATTTTTGAATCTTCTGGGCCTCGTTTTGGTGCCTCGTGGTGCGTCTTGGGGGCCTCATGCAGGCCTCTTGGGGCTTCTTGGGGGCGTCCTCAGGCGTCCTGGGTGCATCGTGGGGCAGAATAGTTGAATTGTCAGTTCGGGCTCCCGTTCTTGGGCCCCTCTTGGCGCCGTCTTGGGGCTCTCTTGGGCGCCCCATGGGCCGTCTTGGGGCTTCTTCGGCCGTCTTGGGACTCTCTTGGTGGCCTCTCGGGCAGTCTTTGGGTGGTCTTGGGCGCGTCGTGGGGTATTACGACGCCGTGAAAGCCGAAGAGCCGCATATGCGCAAAATGCAAGTTTTCCTCGGGGAGGTGGGCGATTTTGGCTTCTTGGGGCACTTTGGGAGTGCTCTTGGGAACCTGTTGGGGCATCTTGGAGGCCTCGTGGGCCGTCTGGAGGCCATCTTTCGTGTCTGGGGCCGATCGTTCGGCCACTCGGGACCCTCTTGCTTTTGGACCGTCGTGGGGCCGTCTGAGAAGCCCCGGCGACCGTCCTTGGACCCCCTGGGGGTCGTCTCGCTGGAGGAGTTTCCGGAGGGAAGAATACACACAGACACAATTCATCGTCGATTCCCCAGAGAATCTGGGAAAATATGGGAAGTGGGGCGGAAGACAAAAGCCCACAAAATATGGGAAAACATGGGGAATCCTGTTATTTGTGTCTGTTTATTTGTGTGTCCCAGGGCCCCTTCAGAGTTCGGGGGTGGATCACCGCGGGCGGCGGGGGGGGTCAAGTCTCAGTTTGGGGAGCCTTGGGTGGGGGATTTATGAGGGGTGAAGAATCTCACACGCCTAGGGACCAAAAGGGATCGTTGGATGAGCTTCGATTTAGCGTCGATGAGCGTCGAGCAGCGTCGGTCACTGTCGGTTGGCGTCGATTCGCGAGAGCCAGCAAGATTGCATGGGAGGCTCCCGCGAGTTGCCACCGAAGAGGCGGAGTTCATGGTCGCTCGAGGCGGAGGCCGCAGGGCGAGCAGGCTCGTGGGGCACGCGATGGCGTCGACCTTCCTGAGCACCGTGCTGAATGTCCTCTTGGACGCAACGGGTCGAAGCTCACTTCGATTCTTATGACTCGGCTCGATTCGATGGCGATGTCGATTCCGATTCCTATTCCGATTCGATTGACTTCGGATTCCGACTTGGACTGCAGTTTCTGAGTGGAGGCCTTGCTAGCTGCTAGCCTGCCGGTCTCCGCCGCTTCGACTTGCCCCGACTTGGCTGCCGCTTCTCCGCCGACCCGCTTCACGTCGATCACCGATCCGGCTCATCGACCCGATCCTGGGCCCTCCTGCAGGTTGGAGCTCCGACGATCTCGTCAAGAACGCCTTCGGGATCTTCGCCCACGAGGGCGGACTGCGCAGGGCCAGGCTGCTGGGGCTGCCGATCAGGGCGTCGGCGCTGCTGGGGGCGCTGGACGAGCCCGTGCTCGGCAGGGCGTACTGGATCTGCGCCTTCGCCGACGACCTCCGCCGCGACCGGACGCCCCTGGGAGGCGAGGGCGAGCTGGAAGAGCTCCTCGCGCTCATCTCGAAGAAGAACTGCTGCATCAACATGAGCTTTCGGAGGTCCGCGCGGAGTTCTTGGAACGGCACTGGGAGCGCGCCAGGAGCGGCGCCGGAGGCGCCGCCAGAGAGGCTCGCCCAGCGCCGATACAAAAAATCCGCGCGGACCTCCGAGAGTTAATTTTCATACAGCTTTTCATCCTCTATCATCGAAAACGCACACGGCGAATCACAGCCGCCCCTGCCTATTTGCAAGTGCCTATGTGGCCGAAACTTGGGCTAGAGTCATCGGACCATGTGTTCCCCCAGCTGTCGTTGAAACCTTTCGGGGAACACGTGAGGAAGAGGAGAATGAGACGAAGGAAAAGGGAGTAGGAGGAGGAAGAGGAGGAGGAGGATAAGGAGGAGCACGCCTCTTCGAAGCCCCTTGCGGCACTCTTGGGGCTTCTTGGGAGCTTCCCGGGGTCCTCTTAGAGGCCTCTCGGGGGCCTCCTTGGGCCTCTTGGGAGCCTTTGGGGGCTTGTTCGGGGCCGTCTTCGGGCGTTCCTGGCCTGTCTGACACTGTCAGAAGCTGTCTTGGATGCCTCTCTGAACCGACTTGGAGCCCTCTTGTGGCGCTTCAGGGCCGTCTTGGAGGCCATCTTGGGCGTCTTGGAGGCTTTTGGGCCGTCTTGGGGCCCTCTTGGGGCTGTCTTGGAGGCCTCTTGGAGGCTTTTGGGGCCACATCGGGGCGATCTTGGTGGCCTCTTGCGCTGTTATGGACCGTCGAAAGGCTGAAAATAATCAAATGCCAAAGTTCTTCAAAAACCCAATGATACTCAACGATTTTGGCCTCTGCGGGCCCTCCTGGAGGACCTCTTGGAGGCTCCTTTGGCCGTCTTGGAGGCCTCTTGGGGGCCTCTGGGGCCGTCTTGGGCCGTCTTGGAGGCTTCTTGGGTGGACTTAGAGGAATCTCGGACACTCCTTGGCCGTCTAGGAGGTCATCTTGGGCCATCTTAATTTGAGGATCATCTTGGCCGTCTTTTGGGCCATCTTGCAGCCATCTGGAGCAGGAAACATCTTTGCAACTGGGTCGAACGCAGCCTTCTGGGTGGTTTTTGGAAATTAGCCCAAACCAAGCCATAAGACGTTCAGCATGCCGGGCACCCCTTTGGCAAGCCAACAGGGGGCGGCAGATTGAATAGCTTTCGGCCAATCCCGCCACCGTGCCTGGGTTGTGGGTCAGAGTTCTCAGCGATGCTTCTTGGGGTCTCTTCGGAGCGCTCTCGGGGGCCTCTTGGGGGTAATTTTGGGGCCTCTTGGTGGCCTCGTGGGGCCTCTTGGGGGCCTCTTGGGGGCTTCTTGGGGCCTCCTGAGGGCCCCTCGGGGCCGAGGGCTCGAAATGTCCGTGCGGGTTCCCCATCTGGGACCCCTCTTGGAGCCGTCTTCGGGCCCTCTTGGGCCGTCTTGGACGCTTTTTGGGAGGGCCGTCCCGGGGCCCTCTTGGGCCGTCTTGGGGCCCTCTTGGGGCCCTCTTGGGGGCCTCTGGGGCCGTCTTGGGGCTGTGTTGGGGGCCTCTTGGGTCGTCTTGGAGCGCGGGGAAGCCGAAAAGGCGAGCAGGCCCAAATCCTTCAAAAACCACGGGAAGACGACTGATTTGTGCCTCTCGGGGCCCTCCTATGGGGGCCTCCTGGGGCGTCTTGGAGGCCTCGTGGGCCCTCTTGGGGTCCTCTTGGGCGTCTCGGGGCGGCCGCTCGGCGACTCGGGGCCTTCCTGGGCCGTCTTGGGGGCCGCTGGAGGCCCTCCTGGCCCGTCCTGGGGCCCTTCTCTGGTCCGACACGTCGCGCGAGACGCGGCGGGGAGCGGCGCCCAGCCCCGAGAGATGTGGCAACGCGGGGTCCGGGCCCCGGAGAGACTCCTCCAGAGTGAGGTCAGAGGCTCACGGGGTCAGGGAAAGGACTCGAGGACACGCCCCCTCCGTGCCCGCAGGCACGGTGGCGGATCCAGAACACGCAGGCGCTCGTCGTCTCCCTGGACAGGGGCCTGGGGGCGGTGGGGCAGCCCCGGGTCGCCGCGCAGGTCCTGCAGGCCGTCCGGTCTGGCGCCACGGTGCTGTTCAGGTCCGCCCTCGGGCTCAGCTCGAGGAGGAAACTGCGGCACAGGCATCGACTCGGCGTCAACCCAACATGCTCCTACTATGTGTGCGTCGCCCCCCCAGGGGCGACGCGCGCACCGAGAAATCTTCTAGTGTGCACGTCGTGGCGGGCGCTTTCTGGCCCCACCGCTCGGGAAACGATCTGCTACATGATGGGTATACTATGTGTTCGGGTCGGACGCGCGCCTCCAAGGAGGACATGCAGTATTAGTCTGCCGCTGTGCGTCCCATGGGCTCTCGGAGCTTTGCGCGCAGCTCCGGAAGCTTGTGCTGCACAGGCCAGGGTCCCGCGCGCGGGCTCGCCTGCTGCAGGCTGGTCTTCGCGTTGCCCCGTGCTTGCCTGGTGCACCTCGCCGGTAGCATCGCTCGCAGGGGAGCGCGATTTTGAAGAAGGGCAACATGCAGAAGTACACACTTTCGGAGGTCCGCTCGGTTTTCTTAGATAGGTGCCTGTTGTAGGACGAGAGCGATGTCATGATACCACTGGCTCAGGAGACGTTCCAAGAAGTCTGGAGTATCTAGCGGCCCTCGTTTCTGCAGCCCCTGTGGAATGTTCAGGGGCAATCTGGGAAATCCTCGAATCCAGAAAATCCTGGAGCCAGGACCACCTGGGAGGGGGCCTCGAGGAGCAAATAATGACATGAACACAAGCTTTCGACGGTCCGCGCGGATTTCTCGGACCAGCGCGTGCCCCCCCTGCCTAGCGCCCGGAGCGCACCAGGGGGCGGCGCCGGAGGCGCCGCCAGGCGGCTCCAGCGCGGATCCAAGATACTCTCGCGGAGCTCCGAACGCCTATGCTTGCACAGCCTCTTCTTCCACAACGCTGGTCGAGCGAGAGTAGTCTATGCCTGGGCCGTCGTTTCTTCCTCCCCCCCCAGCGAGCAGAGCCGCGGCCAGCTCGCTCGGCCAGGCGGCGCGCTCGCGGCGCTCGCCGAGGCAGCGGGCTCCGCGAGCTCGTCGCACGAGGCGGCCGCCAGCCCCGCGGCGGGCGGGGTCGGCGGCTCCTTACACGAGGCCGTGCGGGGCAACGGGAGGGTCAGGGGCGGCCTGTCCGACCCCTCGCAAGCCATCCCCTGCCGTGACGGCGCCTTCGCCTCGCCCCTCGGAAGGAGGAGGAGCGATACCAACCAGCGAAGAGGTCCACGGTGCCTCCCCGAGCTGGAGGCTGGGTATGTCTCGAGCGACAGGGGTGGACCACGATACCAGGGAGACCCCCCTTACCTCCTCGCATCTCCTCGCCCTGTTGGTGTTGGTGTCGCCTTTCCTCGTTCCTAGCCCCAGGACGTGTGCATGCGGCCCGAGGGGAACTTGGAAGGCGAGGGTGACGCCACGGAAGGAGATGGTCTGCCAGGGGTCGGTTGGGCCGCGCTCGACAGGGGGGAACAGGTCAGGTTCGAGGTTCGAGGTTCGAGGTTTTCGGGCGGTTTCGTCGGTTCTCCGCGGGGCCCCAGCCTAGGGTTACCTTCCAGCAGCTGCGCCTCGTCGAGAGCGTTCCAGGGGTGCCCGGATCGTCCCGAAACGGCTTCCGGAGAGCAGAGGTGTGGTATTTAACGTTTTCGGAAGTTTTCGAGGGTCGGGTTGGTCTCCATTCGGGGCGATCGAAAAGGGTACGGAGAGAATGGGTACGAAGACCGACACAATTTCCTGTTCATTTTGAACAGGACCCACTGTCGGCGTCGCCGCGAACGTTGTCCATTTGAGACAGACGGCCACCTGCCCAACAGCGGCCGCTGGTGGTTTCGGACATCATTTGTAGTTGGGCATCGCACCCATTTTTTCCGTACCCATATCGGGCGTCCACGTCGGTTGCGCCCGGTCGAGAGCGTTCCAGAGGTGCTGGGATCGTCCCGAGCGGCTGCCAGAGGCCCGAGCCCTCGCCCGAAGGCCTCGGCGCGGGATCTCAGTGGCCACCTCAGGGGGGGACACGTCAGGAGCGAAAGAAGGACGTACATGTACATGAATCCACGCTGGTTTCGAGAGTACGCATTGCGCAAATGTTGGTATAACGCGGCCGGTCTCGCGGATCGAGGGGCCGTGTTCATTTACATAGCTGGGCGCGTACGTCCTTGGTGGGCTCCCCAACACGGAGGCTCAGTGGGGGGGGACGCACCTGCCCCCACTCGCCCACCGAGCGCCGACGGGGGCGCGTCGCCCCCCCCCCCCCCTCCCCCTGACGAGGCCGCGGGCCTCGCGGCGGCCCTCAGCTTCGGCTGCTGCGGCGGCCTCGGGCGCGCCGGCCCGGACGCGGGCGCGGTGCTCCTGCGCCTCAGGCCTGCACGGCCGGAGGGGGCGCTCAAACGACGCGAAGATCGGGACAGAATCGGATCGGGATAACTCGAAATCTCTGAGAATCGGCGGGTTTGGAGGATGTATTGGGCGCCGCGGCCGCTCCAGAGCGTTCCGGAACGCTCTGAGAGCGCTCCGGAACGCTCTGGAGCGATTTATCCCGATCCTAACCCTGTTTTAGGCGCGGAAGCAGGGACGGCGAAGAC